TGTATCTTTGGGTAATCAAGTGGGTGATATAGCAGAAACAACCCCCCAAACATAACAGACCAGTTATTTACTTCTTAATCCAAAGTATTTCACTGTCAAATGGGCATGTAGAGATAACCATCATGTTCAGTTATCACAGCTGTGCTTGAAAATGTACCTGGTTTGAATATATTGCCAACTGTCCATCTGCATTGAAACAAATAGTGTAAAATATGCGTTTTTATAGTCATATTATATTTGAGTGGGGCAATGTTTAGAAAATGATGAGTAAGATTCACTGGTCTTTCACTGGTCAGTAGTGTATTCCCTTCTGACATGAGTGATGAAGACACATGTGATCAGAAGGTAACTCGTGTGACAGACTTTCTCATTTTCCCCTGCATTTTGTGAAAATGTAGGCAATTGTCATAGATCTCTAACTTTTTTAGAGCATATGAATCCTACCCTGACTGCTAAAGAAAAATATTTTTACAAGTGTCTGCAAATAGAGAAAATAGTAGTATTGGTGGTATTGTAAATTAATCTTTTACTAATTATCATACTTGACAACATGAGTTTAGCAGCATGAATCCTAAAATTGCCTCTTTCTGTGTCTGTGGGAGGATGTTACCTTTTTTTCTTCAAAGGTGCAACGTCTGAAGGAGCCTTTCAGTTTCACATTAGAGTGATATTGTATTAGTCATCAAATTGAATTCGGCTTATGCTGAGCAATAAGTAATGTGCCTATTGAAAAAAAATAAATCTAGAAGCTTTAAAAAGACTTGAACAATTGGTTTCATACAAAGAAATCAGTGGAACAAAAATCCATGTTCTGCTATCTCAGTGCACATAGCTTAAGCTCTGTGCCTTTGTTATATCTGACTGTAGTTGTGTTTGGAGACCAGTATTGTTTTTCCACTGGAGCAGCAAGAATCCAGAATTCCAGCATCTCATTCAGTTTCTGCAATTAAATTTGACTTTGCATTGTTTTTAAAACTCCTTGTGACGAATGCTATGATACTTGGTTTCAGCTTACTGTATATTACGTTTTGCCAAAAAGAGTATAAGACTGAGCACAGACAGAAAGCCTCTTTCTGCGGCCTTAGCTGCTGTATTCTTAGTCAAATAGAAAAACTTGAATGGAGGGTAGAGGGTTGCCAGTGTTCTCTCAGGAACCTGTAATACTCAGTGGCAATTAACTTTTTGCATGTTGTGGTTTAACCCCAGCTGACAATCAGCCCCACGCAGCTGCTCGCTCACTTCCCCCTGGTGAGATGGGGGAGAGAATTGGAATGGCAAAAGTGAAAAAAATTGTGGGGTGAGATAATGACAGTTCAATAGGTAAAGTAAAAGCCATGCATGTAAGCACATCAAAACCTGGAATTCATTCCCTACTTCCCATCAGCAGGCAGGTGTTCAACCATCTCCAGGAAACCAGGGCTCCATCACATGTAATGGTGACTTGGTGAAAACAAATGCCATCACTCCGAATGTCCCCCACTTCTTTCTTCTCCCAGCCTTACATGCTGAGCATGACATCACATGGTGTGGAATATCCCTTTGGTCTGATGGAGTCGGCTGTCCCGGCTGTGTCCCCTCCCAACTTCTTGTGCACCCCCAGCTTACTCACTGGTGGAGTGGTTTGAGGAGCAGAAAAGGCCTTGACTCTGTGTAAGCGCTGCTCAGCAATGAAGAAAACATCCCGGTGTTATCAGCACTGTTTTCAGTACAAATCCAAAACACAGCCCCATACCAGCTGCTATGAAGAACATTAGCTCTATCCCAGCCAAAACTAGCACAGTGTGGAAGGCGAGTGACAAGGGAGGACCCTGTAGCTGGAGTGCAGCCCAAGAAACTTCAAAGAGGAACTTTCCTGGAGCCTGGCTCAGCAGCCAGGCATCATAGAAACTCATGGCAGCTCAGGACTCTGTTCTCCAGAGTTGTCTCCCTCTTGGCCTCTCAGCCTGCTGCTGATGCAGTCAGTGGTGTTCATGTAGTTGAGTTAGTGACGTCAGCTCCCTGGGTTGGCTTGCTGCATGATGGTTCCAGTGCCAGTGGAAAGGAGAAAGAAGGGTTGGATGGCAGTAGCTTCAGCTAGTTTAAGGTGCTGAAGCATGGTACCACCAGAGGTGATGATGTAGTGTTCCAGTGGTCCTGAAAGGAATTACTGAGTTAGCTTAACTCTAGAGGTTGGTAGACTTCATTAAAGCACTAGGCAGATTTGAGTAATTTATTTTCAGACCTTTCTCTTTAATGTGTTTTATACAGCAGATTTTAGTTTTAACTTTTTTCTAGTTTGTTTTAATCTAAAAGTTTAAGCCTTTTTGCATGATCACATAAGCATAAGGTAGGAGCAATTCAGACTTAGTAGTCTGACCAGTTCATAGTCTTAACCCTTTCCTAACAGTAATATTTCAAAATTTTCAAGGAACAAGCAATACTGCCAGTGTTCAAAAAAAGACGAATAAAAACCAACAAAAAACCCCAAACAATTTCAGGATCTGGGCTGATCCTGCTAATATTCATGTGAATGGCTCTTGTTGGGATAAGCTGTGTATGAAACCGTGCACGGATCTGCAGGGTTGGTGCTGTAGCAGTGAAGGTGGCAGTACGCTTCTCTGGACAAATCAGTTTTTGCTTGTTTTTGGATAATTTTGAGTAGCAATGTTGGAATATAGTCTTTTAAACTCTTAACAACAGAAGAGGAAAGAAAAAACACTCTGCTGACAGTGTGGCACCGGTGTGTTTGTGACAGCAGATGGCAGTAGGACTGAAGTGATGAAGGGTGAAATGGTTCTTTTTTAAAACTGCAGAAAAGTACTCTGAGTGAGACTCCCAAGAACTCCTCTTCCATTTCAGCATCTAAAATGAAATGACAGGTTTTGAAAATTTCTTAAGCTTTTGGAAATCTGGCCTGCAATGCACAGCAGGGTTTCTTATACATCTTTTCAGCCCTTTGTTGAGCATCATTCAAACACTGCCTGCCGGAGAGCAGAGACTCCTTAATCCGAGGTTCTGCATCTCTAGCTCTGCTGTCAGTATGAAGAACTCGCTGTGCTCAGCTACCTTGAACTTTAGGCCACTAGGTAAGATAAGTGGCCTAATTCTGACATCCTGCTTTTGAAAATCTTTATATGGTAGAATATGGAAACTGAAACTGAGCAACTTGCAGAACTACTTTCTGCTTCTTAATTTGTATTCAACAGATGTAGTGAAATCATGGAAGTCCCTTTTCCTTAGGAAATCAGGTTAAATATGCAAGTGAAGTTGAAAATTGTTAGGACATCTCACTGAGTGGCAAGAGTATTGCCAAAGATCCTCAACGAAGTAAGTGTTGCTAACGCACTTAACACTGGAACTTAGTTATTTTTCTCAGAAATTGCAACTGTGTGAATAGTCAAATAGGAAGTTATGCAGAAAAAACATTGTGGTCTTTTCCAAACAAAAAGTTTACTTACTTGTATTTTTAATTGTAATTTTTAGCTCTAATGCAGTGTTAACCACAAGGCAGCTGATTGCAGTACTTAATATCTTTCTAACATCAAATCCTTCTTTTAATGCTCACATGTGCAATAATTATTTGAGATGCAGTTGTTCTTAATTCTGACAACTTCAGAAACTACAGAGAAGAAATTATATACTAAGTTGAAGTGACTAAGATAAGACTATGATAGACTATGTACAAAGGTATGTTCTGGTCTAAAAGAGTCTAATTTATAAGAGTCTCACATAGGTATGACAGTACATCCTGTGATTCAGACTATGCTATACAACGCTCCTGAGGAAAATCCTCATAACTTTTTATCTTTCCTGGGGCTTTCATTCTTTTTATTATGTTAGTAGTAGTGATAAAAGATTAGACAGATTTAATACTTCGTAATGAATTTTGGCAAGACTTTAATCTGATCCCATTATTTATGGAATATTACTAGGTGTCAAAATTGGTTTTGAAAAAAGATGCTGTGTTATTGACCATATCTAGAGCATTATTGAAGTGTCTTATAATACAAGGGTGTCTCAGGATTCTGTTTAGCAAATCAATCTGAAACACCAGTAGGACTTCAGAGAGGTGGTTTGGCACATTCTGATGTGACACATGTAAACATTCTTAAATACCTTAATTAGTAGTACGTGCTGCTGGATTTAACATTAATCACTGTAAATGATAAATGCTTGTAAAACAATTATTTATGGATAATAACGTAGCAATTAGCATTAGCAGCATTGGATTACTAGGCAGGTGTTCTATGGCTAAATAATTAGGTATGTCTAAATAATTAGATACATGTTTGTAGATATTGAATGGAGGCTGTGTCATAAATGTCAATGGTTACGTACACTGAACTGCCAGGTAGTAATACCAGATTGATTTCTTCAAACCAAAAGAATTGTTGTACTTTTCCTTGTAGCACATCTGTTCAGAGCAGACCCCTGGCCTTGTTACACTTAGTGAGAATCTTGCTGCTGACTTTACCTGTGCCAGCACTTCACGTATAGTCTCGTGAAAGAATAACATAATCTTTCAGCAGAAAGCAAAGTTGTTCTATGAATAACATATAGTCTGCCTTACTTAAGTGGCAGAAGAATGGATGTAGTAATGATTTTGAAGTATTAGTAACAGCCACCTGAGGTAGCTTTGCAGCTGTAGGTATGCCTTATATCACCTATGTAATGCCTTGACTGCTCTGTGGATGCTTGGCTGTCCTGAGTGTGGCAAGTGCTGGCACTTTCCTCGGGTTCCAGCACTGTAGAGAAGAATGAATCGAAGAGTATAGTTGCATCGAAATGAGCATCTTGTTTCTTGTGAATTGGTCTGCATATCTTGGTAGTATTGTTGCCTTTCTTTAGGTAGTGATTTTTGACAGATGAATTAGTTTTCTACAAGTTATAGGAGCTATTACAAATCGATTGGTATCTTCTGATAGTCTTATACCCAGGAAGTGTGTACAAACTC